GGTTGTAAAGTCCAGGATATTTTGAGGGGTGGGAGCCCTTTTCCAGGGTCCTAAAAGCATAACACTTTATTTAGTAAACTGCTTAATTTAAGTAGATAAAATAGGCCTTTCAGGAGTCTATTCAAAGTGATCCTTTCACTCACTTGCAACTACAAACTAAGTAATACTTTGAAAAGAGGCACAGAGCTGTGGGCAGACATTCAGAGTACTCATTCTGATGGGTTGTTATGTATATCTGAGCAATGACCTATAATAATGTCATTGTGATCAGAGCATAAAACTTAATAGGGATTTATTTCTCTGCAAAATATAATAACATAGAAGCCATCAGAGAAAAAGCTTGTACAGTCACTCTCCAGTGCCTGGTCTTTTCCAAGGGTAGGTCACTCAAATCTCACCTCAATATCACCTCCTCAGAGATGCCAGTCCTGACTGCCCAGGTGGTGGTAGCAATTCCCCAGCCCCACTGGCTTTGTTTAATGCTATAATGTCTCTCCTCATAATTATCCTTGGTTTTCTCATTTGCTTATTAACTCTCTGTCTTCCCCTTTAGAACATAAGCTCCATTCATGGGGAATATCTCCTATCTAGTGCTAGCTTTTCAATACTTGGCACATACTAGGTGTTCGGTGATTATTTGTTGAATGAATGAAAGAGCAAACAAGGGGAAGAGTTTATCAGGGTTTAGGAGGGAAATCACGCCCCTTTTTGCTTTTTGGGTGGCCGGTGTAACTACAAATGTTCAGCCATTCATCAGAAACTGAAGAATATTCAACAAAGCCTCAGGCAGTTAAAGGTCTTTACAAGTAGACTGTCTAAAAGGGAAGAGTAGTATGCTTTAACAGAAATGATACTTCCATTATTTTGCTTCAAGCTTAACGTAGCCCAAGGAAAGATTCTTGCAAAAAGGATTAGATCAAGTGAGGGAGAAAAGATTAATGTGAAGCTGATCACTCTAAACTTCAGAAGGTTCATGCTACACCTGGGAACACAGCCAAAGCACAGTGGGTGGGTGTGGACTGCAAGCCCTCAGGTGCAAACTTTGACTCCAAGAGTAGAAATGTGTGGCCCAGGAAAAATGTGACATTGTAGAAAATAAAATTAATGGGATTGCTAATAATGCAGATGTACCTAGATTTCAAGAAGCACTTGGGCCCATTAGGAGTGTTATCACAGATCTCTTTTTAGTAAGATTTCAGACTGAAATTTCAGACTGAAATATGTGTGGCCCCACAGCACTCTGTTTAGAAGGGCATAAAGCTGGGTGAGTCTATCTGGACCAAATAAATGAAGACAAGTTGGCTTGGCTTTCCTCCCCTTTTTTTTTTTTTTTAAAGATTTATTTATTTATGCATGCAAGAACTGGGGTAGAAGCCAGAGGTGCAGGGGGTGAAAGGATTCACCAGAGACAGAATGAGGAGCAGAACAGGCAGATCTACTGAGCTACAATACTGAGGGGAGCAGCAGGTGAGACAGGAGGGGTCTGTTGCACCATGTGGGTCACCTCCTTGGTGCCATGTGGGTTACCTCCCTAGCCAGGGATTGAACTCATGCTGCAGTAGCTGCTGATTGCTTCACAGTGCTGATGTTTAACCCCCTTGTACCACCAGGGAGGTCCCTGGGCTTCCCACCCTTGAAAGGAATACATAGCAGTGCCTTGGTGGGGTGGGGAAATGATGGTTTGCCAGCTGGGGTCTGCTGTGTTGAGGCAAGGGAACGCTGAGCAGGACAAGAGTGCCTTCACTGATATGAGCTCCTTATTTTACAAAATGATTTCTGATCTATTGTTTAATTTTATTCCCATTTTAAACCCGTGAAGTTGGGAGTACAGTTGCTGTTTTCATAGCCACTTATGAATGTGAAGTCTGGAGCAAACTACGTTTGTGGCTTAGCTAGAGCCAACTTGCACGGGGGAACCAGAGTTTCTAAAAATGTGGAGTTTTTACATTAGAGTAACCTGGAGAGCTTGTTGAAAATGACCCATCCTTGAAATCCGTAGTCAGAGGAGCTCTGAGATCAGGGTCCAGAAACTTGTACTCTTTGAATCCTAACTGATTGTTATGCATGCTAATCATTTAGCCTATCATGCCACCCTAAACCCAAAAACAATTTGTAATCCATTGAGCCAGTAACTCAATTCCGAGTTTTCTACTCCTGTACTTTTTCTCAAATCCCTCTGAAGTGGAAACACAGGATGCTCCTTAGAGAAGAGGGTTGTGTGGTAGTAAAGAGAAGAGACAACAAATGTCGACAGGAACTAGCTGAAACTCTGGTGAACACTTGTTAAAAGAATCATAATTAAATTGAAGATTGTAAAACATGGGAAAGCCTGGGGAATCTGCTCTTCAGTGGTTAAGGAACATGCAACCCAACTAGCTGATCAAGTGTTCCTGGACTAAAGAGAATTGACAAAGAGCCTTAGAGTCATCACAACTGGCAAAACCAAAGCTTCGTTGGCAGACTGGACGCTTGTTGAAACAAGATATGCTGTAACAAGTTCTAGAGTGAACTAGAGAAAGCATTTTCAAACAGCTGTTGAAAGTTTACAGAGTATGGGGCAGGAGGAAAACCTTCCATAAATGCAAATCAATTTAAGGAAATATGCAAGACCAATAGAGAATGAATTCTTGGGGAGAACTTATCTATTTTTAGTGTAAAATACTGTGACGTGACTGTCCAAGCCACATGAACAGTATCCTTCTCTAGTATAACCCTTACATTTGTAGAGGTCTTATGGTTTAAAATCTTCCAGGTAATCACTATCACGCCATCCATCCTATTTCACCTTAAAGTTATGAAACCATTCTACCACACTTCATTACTTGCAATCCTAACACTGCTCTGCAATGTTTATCATCCCCCCTTGGCAAGTGATTAAATGTGGTTCATAAAATTAAGAGAATTGCCAGAAGTGACCCAACTAATTTGTGGAGAAGCTAGAATTCTACCTCAGGGCTTTTGCATCTCCACGCCTGCCTCTGCAAGTATCTAAAATGTAGCACAGGCAGTCATAGAATCGTGGACAATGTCCCATTTGACAGATGAGAAAACTGAGGCATTTAAAGTAAAGTCAAAGCTTTGCCCCAGGTTATTTGTTTCTCAACAGAGCTCAGATATTGGGTCCCCATCTCCTGACTATCCAGTTCAGAATTTGTGCTATTTTGTGTTGCTTCTCATAGTTTGTGAATACCTAGATACATGTCACACATATTAATTTGGAATCTTGGAATAAATGCTTTCAAAGACAGCCAGAGTACAAGAGTCCAATAGATTAAAGATTAATTAAATTTATTTAAAAATGTGACTGCCCATTTGCATTTAGTGGCTTTATTTATTTTCAGTGAGACTTTTTTTCCCTATGAGTAACACTGGTTTACAACACTGTATATGATTTAGGGGAACAGGTTCAGACCTCATCAGATGTATGACCACCCTGCTCCCACTATCCAAGCACCATTATAGTCCTTCAACATAGACATTTAATGACTTTTAAATTTTGGAACATTCAACTTCTCATACCTTGATATTATTACCTGTATACTTGCTACAGTAAGCAGTACACAAGTACTTGCTTTGAATAGTACCCAGATTTTTCTTCTTGATCTACATGACTATAATCTCCAGATAATGGCAAGACTGAAGGAATAATTCCATGTTAGACTTTGGTAAAAGGGAGACAAAGAGGGAAGGAAATTGGATTTAAAACATGACTTCTAAAATGACCATTAGTAGAAATTACATGAAGGCTAGCCCCAGGTCAAAAGACTCACAAACGTGGGTGTTTTCCAGGGATGTGAACAGATATTTGCATACTCCTATTTATAGCACCATTAATCACAATAGCCAGAAGATGGAAGCAACCACAGTGTCCATCAACAGATGAATGGATAAGCAAAATGTAGTGTATTTGTAGAATGGAATATTATGCAGCTTTCATTTACTTTGTTTTATTTTATTTTTATTGAAATAACATTGGCTTACATCACTGTATATGTTTTAGAGTACAGGTTTATGCTTCTTCAAACATGTTACTACACCCCATCCGCCACTACCAAAGTAGTAATGACCCTCCACTGTAGTGAAGTCCCCCTGGTTTTCCCCACCCAAGTCTTTCCCCTCTGGTAACCTCAGTTTGTTATTAGAATCTAAGGGTTTGTTTTTGTTTCGTCTGTTTGCTTTTTTTTATTTATATTCCACATATGAATGAGATCATCTGCTATTTGTTTTTCTCCTCCCAACTCCAACTTAATTCTCTTAGCATAATCCCCTCGAGTTCTATTTCTGTTGGCCCAAATGATAAGTTCTCATCCTTTTTTTTTTAAGATTTATTTAATTATTTATGCATACAAGAACTGGGGTACAGGCCAGAGGTGCAGAGGGTGAGAGGATTCACCAGAGACAGAGTGGGGAACAGAACAGGCAGACTGACTGAAATACACTGCTGAGGGGAGCAGCAGGTGAGACAGGAGAGGTCTGCTGCACCATGTAGGTTGCTCCCTGGTCAGCTGGGGATCGAACTCATGCTGCAGAGACTGCGGATAGCTTCATAGTGCTGTGCTTAACCCCTTGCTCCACCAGGGAGGCCCTCTAATCTTTTTAATAGCTGGAATATTATGCAACTTTTAAAAGAAAGAGCATTTTGACACATGCTATTGTTACAGAGCAACTTCCAATATGAAATGGGTTGCCTGACTGTGGGTCCTCACTTGCATGCTTAAAAGGGACTTATTGATGCTCAACTGCAGGCACACACAAAAGGTTAATAAAGGGTTTATTTATAAAAGAAGGGGAAATGAAGAAATGAATAACTCAGGGAGAAAAAGAGGGAAATAAATTTGTGAATGCGTCCTACTAGTTCCGCTGAACTGGAATCCCAATGGCACGCTGAGAACTGGTGAAAAGCCAAGGTCCATGAGGCCAAGACAGCAACCCAAGGCCCACATATCTGGTTTATACCAGATACTCCACCCTCAGGTCCCAGCAACCCTCCCTTTGGTGATGATGGGATTTGTCATTCCCAGTGTCTTGATGGCTTTGGTGTGGAGTGGGGGTGGAGTCCACAAAATCTGTATGGAGTTTGCTCAGGACATCCTTTCCCCCTAACACTATAACAAGAATGAAACTTGAAGACATTGTGCTAAGTGAAATAAGCCAGTCACAAAAGGGAAGACATACAATTCCTCTTATATACAGTTCTTACCTAGTGAAATCCATAGAGACAGAAGGACAATGGTGGCTACCAGGGGCTGAAGAGTTAGAGTTTTGCAGATTCAGAGTTTTAAAAAGAATGAGTGTGCCTTGATGTTTGTTTCCCTTATTCTTCTGTGGTGGGCAGTAGAGTTATATGTCCTTCGACTCCAGCTCTGCCTCCAAATATTTTTCATCCTTTTTCAAAGTGTTCACTAACAGCACTGTACAGAAACAATAGGACAAATCCAGATTGTAATATATTTTCTGTGACAGCTGGCCTGGTTTCTTTAAAAGTCAGTGCCCCTAAAAAGGAAAATAATGGAAAGTTTATTCTAGATTTGAAGAGACATAACCAGACGCAATGTGATTGGTTCCTGGCTGGAAAAAAACAACTCTAAAAGACATTTGGAAAGCAACAGAACCAGTGTGAATATTAGCTTAGTATTAAATAAGACTTGAAAATCATTGTCAATTGTGGTATCCATTGTTTGAGCTATCAATTGGTGAGATGTGGTGATGATATTGGGCTATATAGAAGACACTCCTTATTAGGGGAGCTATTTGCTGAAGTATGTTGCGGTAAAGTGTCATGATGGTTACATTCAAATACTTACTTTCAAATAATTGAGGGGAAATGGAAATACACACATACAGACATACGTAAAGCAGAAAGATAAAGCACAACAACCAGCAAAAATGGCAGTCATAGACAAAGCAATTATCCAATCTAAACGGGGTGGATAATGCATTAATTATATTACTTTCAACATTTTTGTACACCTAATGTTTGCCATAAAATGTTTTAAAATAGAGTATTCATGGATAATAAATATTAAATCATGAGTTAATGTTTTCTCTAGGCAAAATAACTATCACCATCAGTTACTGAGTGTTCAGACATTTTGCTAAAGCTTTACACCTGCTATTTCATTTATACAATTCTCAAACACTTATATACAGAGTGTACTTTCTAGTCTCACTTTTACAGATGAGTACACTGAGGTACAGAGATAAAGTAACTTCCCCCAGTGTCTCAGCTCATGAGTGACACAGGCTCACACACACCCACAGGCTGGCTGCAGACTGGGTTACCTCTTCACAACTCCTAGAGCTCTGGAAAGAAGGCATTGCAAGAGGCCAGGAGGGAGAGGAAGTAGGACCTGAAAGCCTTTCCAAGCCCCTCAAATAATGATCATTATGGATGCTTCAGCCACCTAGAAACAGACTACAGAGCCCCCCAGTAATATCCTGTTATCTGGATTCTGGTGGAGAATCTGCCCTTTTTGCCCCTCCCGGGAAATTCCTAGTGTTTTACAACTATTATCTCATCTGTTAGCCTTAGGCTGTTTGGGAGCAAGTATAAATAATTATTTCTGGTTGCAGCTCCAGTCTTGCCTGCGGCTCCTGGCTCTGGGGTCCACCTGGCTTTAGACAGCAACAGTAGTTACTCCAAGAGTTAATGTTTATACAGCATTTGCTGTGAGCCAGGCACTCATTGAAGTGCTTTATATTTACTAACAAATCTCCATAACACCCTTGTGGAATAGGTCTTCTTATACCTATTGTAGGGATGAAAAAACTGATGCCCAGATCACAAGTAAATGCCCAAATTTCGCACAGATAGTAAATAAAGGAAACTGATTCTACCAATCTACTTATAGCTTCTATTAATCCAGATGGGGCCCAAGAGCATCCAGTAGTTCTTGGAAGTCTTGTGAAGAACTTTGTCTCAGCCCTTTGCATTGACCAAGTGAGTTGCATGAGCCTTGCCCAGCGGCACTGAAATAGGCCTTTGCCCTCTGCTTCTGCCAGATATATGAGCCTGCATTCTGATTCCCTCCTTTTTCTAAATTTGGCCTTGTGGTTCTTTGTTTCATACAACACAGCAATAACTCTCAGGTAGTTTGATATCTGAGCTAATCACCTCTCCTTGCTACGTGCCTAGGATGTGGTGGCCCAACCCTAACAAACACGGATAAGTTTCAGGTTTATCTTCTACCAAAAAGGGCAGAAAGCTTCCTGGTCAGCCTCACTGGATACAACCAACAAAACCAGCTGCTGAATGGGGAAAAGCTAGGTCTTCCCCGTATTCCTCCTACCTGCCACTGTCTCGCAGGGTCAGGTGAACCCCTTACAATAAGTGCTAGCAATAGTTTGCTGGCTCTCACGAGGAGACAGCTTAGAATTCCTTGGAGAGAGCAATCTCTCCCCCAAAGAAGTAGTTCTCTGCTGGTAGAATTTCAAGCATGACAGTTGAGTGAGTCTTATTTTTCTTCTTGCTTTAGGGAAAAGAGAAAGAAGGAAACTGAATTTCAGTTCCTTTTCACTGGCCTCCTAGCCTCACAAATGTTTTCTATGTTCAGTGGTCTCAGCTCCTGGTTTTGGGGGTGGCAGCAGTTAGCAAATGGCTTCTCTATAATTTAGGGGTCAAGACCAAGAAGAAATTAAGCTGGGAGTAGGCCAAAGTAATAGGGGGCTAGAGAGGAGGAGAAGGGCACCATAGCTAGTAGAGGAATCTGCACATACACACTCAGCAGCACATGCTGCACATACACACTATGTAACCAATATGTTTTCTAAAATTCTTGCTATAAAACTGAATTTCCTGCCCCAGTGATGCCCAAATGAGTGCCAGACATCAACACCACCAGATATAGCAGGGTCAAGATAACCAAGAAGTGATACTAAACTCTAGAGGCTGAACACGACAAATACTGAGAATATCAACTATGACGGGCTGTTCTGATGGACTGTTTGTTTATGACTTTTTGTTTAATTCATTTTATTTATTTTCTTAGAACTATTCCTTTATAGTAAGTTTTGTTTGTTTGTTTGTTTGTTTGTTTGTTTGTTTGTTTGCATAGAAGAACAGGGGTGTAGGTCAGAGGTATGGGAGATGAGAGGATTCACCAGAGAGAGAGAGGGGAGCAGAACAGGTAGATTCACTGAAATACACTGCTGAGGGGAGCAACGGCGAGATAGGAGAGGTCTGCTGCACCATGTGGGTTAGCTCCCTGGCTGGGAATTGAACTCAGGCCACTTTGTCACAGGAGAGCTATTGCAGTGGTAGCACTGAGACTTAACCCCTAGGCCACCAGGGAGGCCCTTAACTCATCTTAAAAAGGCCAGCTCAAGATGAGACAGCAGAACCATCTCTCTGTTCTCTCAAACCAATGGTCATGGGAGAGAAAGTTCTCTTCAGGGTGCTATGCCCTGTGTTCTCTCAGGTCAATGCCCAGCAATCTAAAAAATAAAAAGCACTTCCTGATTCAATTCCCATCTCTGCTTATTCATTTTTTGGTAGTGACAAGAAGCAGAACCTAGGCCTATCCCCAGTAACAAAAGGATGGGGCAGGGATGGATGGAGAAGCTGGGGCTTCCTGGCTCAGGGAGAAAAGTGAATTCTACAAGTCAGGGAGGACAATAAATGTGAGGCATCATCAATGGTGGAGAACTGTGCATTTTCTGTGCAGGGTTCCAGAGTTTGTGGGTCTCTGGAGAAATAATCGGGTTCTGGCATTTAGACCCCCTGAATGTCTCTGTAGTAGGGTATCAAGGGCTGAAACTTGAAGAGAGAAGGAGGTGTAGTGTGCTGTTTACATAGCTGTATATGTGGAAATGAACAATTACTAATTATAACATAATGGGGGATGCTGATCTAGGATATGGGGAGATGGTCTAAAATTTCCTCAAAGTTCCCACCATCCATACTCCAAACTTGTCACTTAACTAATAATTCAGTCTGTGACCTTGAAAACATGGACAAGGACCTATGAGCCTTCAGGCAATGTAAACACTATATTGGGAAATCTTTTAGTCTAACGTCCTAAAGAAACAAGTAGCATTGTTAATGATGGCTATTTAATGAACCACCTCAGACCCCGCGCCACTTTTTATTAACAAGTAGACCCTGGATTCTCTTGTGGTCTATACAAATATACTAATACATATACTTACATATAAGTATAAATAAGTAACTATAATACATAAACATATCATTACAATTAATAACATTATTATCAAAGATCCCACCAATCATGCTAAGCAAAGTGAGGCTCAGAGTTTGATTTCAGTTGATTTGGAAAAAATAAAGAGATGTGACTTCCTTGATCCTTGATGAAGCAGAGCAAATTCACATCAGTGGGAGGGCAGTGGTGAGGGAGGGGTGTAGTTAGAGAGATCCTCAAAGCACCAAGCAGCTGAAAAAGCTGCAAGGCTCTGCCCTCCTCCATTTGCCTTTAGTTGGCAAAAGACAAATTAGCCCAGCACCTCCTGAGCCAGAGTTTGCAATGCAGAGTCTGCAAGAATGTTGGCTTGGGAGCAGCACTGTTCTTTATCTCAGCAGGTGTAATTCTATCACATGATTGTCTTGGATCTGCTTTTCCCTGCACCAGTCCAAGCTTGCCAATTCAGACAAGCAGCACAGAGAAATAAATAGTCCTTCTCTGTGTCAGCCCAGAAAACAAGCACTGGGGGTCTCTTTACATAGAATATAATGAGCATTTTTTGACTTCTGGCCTTGGAGAAGGCTCTCTTCCTGCCCTGAAACCGACAAGCCTCAACACGCCCTTTGCAGGCAACTCACTGGCCTCCACAGGGAAACCAAGCTAAACTTGCAGATACCTCTGCCCTGTCCAGAACTTCACAGGCAGCAGATCAAACTGTCAAAAATATTTCAAGGAGAGGCAGAAGGCTTAACCCAGGGCCTCCATGGGGACGCAGTCACAAGAGCCACGCTGCCTCGGAAACTTCCAGTCTTGCTGCCTCTAGTCCCACGGGTGGTTTCCATAGCAGTTTAAGGTTACCTTGGCAGGTGAACTTCCCCAGAGGGGAACTGCTCACAAGGAGACCAATAGGAGGAGCTTTCCAGGCCAACCCAATGACATCCACTCATACCAGGAGCAGCAAAGCCTAAGCTTTCACAATGGTGACCCCTGTACCTACTTAAACCTAACAGGGACCTGTGAAGCCAGGTCAGGGTCTGACCTTCCTCTTTCTGGTCACAGGTGTTCCCTCTGGATGTTTGCTCAGATCCAAGCTGGCTTGGGAGACTGGGGTTCTGAGCAGCCCTGACTGGGACCAAGAGAACTTAGATGCTGTGGGTGAGTTTCAGGAACTCCTCAGTAGTGGGGTCAGACCCTGAGGTAACCTAATATTTTATTTGCTCCAAGGTCTTGTGGAAGTATTTTTAATGTAATAAGCCCTGACATGAATATTATCATACCAAAACAAGTTCTTAAACTCTAAACACCCTTCCCAATTGTCTTCATTTGTCTGCTGTCCTTGTCGGCATGAGTACATAC